GCATCAGAATTTTGATCAGGTGACCATGGGGATGCCGAAAAATAGGGACAAGTCACTTTTACAGTGCTCTTGCAACTTTGGTCACTAAATGAATGAACTGCTGTAAAGTAGAAGGCTACCTATATTGTCCAAATAGAAATTAGGGTCCTTGCTATTAATTTTCAAATCTTTGTTGCATATTTGGTGTCAGCCGCTGAGTTCCAAAACCTAAGCAAAATTTGATCTGTTATTAATTGGATGGGAGACCACCAAGAAGAGCAGACCTAGGAAGTGAGGAGGAAGGGGAGGGGAAGAAAGCAATATCGCTATTCATAAATGTCCATGGGTTCCACAAAAGTCAAGTTCTGCCTGAGGAACTCTTCAAGATACAGAGTGCCAGACACTTTAGCTAGATAAAGGTAAAGGTTCCCCTCGCACATATGTGCTAGTCGTTCCTGACTCTAGGGGGCGGTGCTCATCTCCGTTTCAAAGCCAAAGAGCCAGCGCTGTCCAAAGACTTCTCTGTGGTCATGTAGCCAGCATGACTAAATGCCAAAGGCACATGGAACGCTGTTACCTTCCCACCAACGATGGTTCCTATTTTTCTACTTGCATTTTTACCTGCTTTTGAACGGGTTGGCAGAAGCTGGGACAAGTAACGGGAGCTCACTCCATTACGCAGCGCTAGGGATTCAAACTGCTGAACCGCCAACCTTTCTGATCAACAAGCTCAGCGCCTTAGCCACTGAGCCACCACATCCCAGAAAAAGATTTTTTTATCCTTCATTAATATGAACCATTCGAAATTCTTTCTTGTCTGCCAATAGCCACATTTTTGCCAGCATTCAGTTGTCCACAGCCATCAACCCCCTCCCACCCACCCCCATGGTGGGCAGGGGGCTGGATGCAGAGTGGGCTCCCCTGAGCTTAAACAGTTCAGCTGGGACCAACATGATTGGGATTTAAAACTGAGCCAGATTTTTAATAGTGTTTGAAATCCATAGAGTTGTCCACAGTGGGTTTATTTTGGGGGGTGGGTGGGACTCCAGTTTCTTAACTAAACAAAGGAGAATTATGGACAGATTGTGGGGCAGCCCTGCATAAAGAAAGGGAGACGAACATAAGGGAGATAAAAATGATGTAGTGATAGAGAATTTTTGTAGCTCAGGGTTGAACCCCTCTCCTTTCTAGTGTTGGAAGAAATTTTCCTGGTCCGTTCCCAGCTAGGAAGCAGTCACCAATGCTGAGAAGAAATAGACATGGAAGCCAGCTGCCAGAAAAGGGATCCTTTAATTCAGGGAGGCAAGAAAATAGTGAGGCAGCATTCCTGGTTTGCAAGCATGACTCTCAGCCTTTTATGCTTAATTCCCCTTTGAAGCTCCTGCAGCTTGATGGGTTTTGATGTGTTTCGGATTGCCCTAGGTTTTGTTTACCTGTTTTCCTGGGTTAATCTTGGTCTTTTCTTTTTCTTGTCCTAGGAGTTAATCCTGTCAGGGAGGCAGGAAAAAGGGAGTTTTTCGGTTTACCTTGGAGGATTTATGTTTAGCCTGAGTCCCCTTATCTTAATGGCTCTACTTAAGTGTTCCTTTCAGCTGGTGATTTTGCCTAGGGGTTTTCTTAAAGGGGAAAGGGCTGGCTTGAGTTTCATGGCACTGTTTTCTGAGGTTTCTGGCACTGTCCTTTTGGGGTATACTTCCCACACTAGCACTGATGATATTACCTAGTTGGGTAATGAAATGTCAGCAAGAAAACAACCGAGCTCAGAGAGCACCAAGGGCCCTGGAAGCTGTTCCAAGTTTCAGAATAGATGCTATCTATGCTGCAATACTTGTGGGAGATCCCCCCTTTCCTTTATTTTTATTTTTCTCACCCAGGTTGGGTCTTTGCAGGCAATCCCAGCACCCCGGGTATCTAAATAAAGCATTTAGGGGACAGCAAAGGCCTGTTTTCTTGAGGTTACTCTCTGAAGTGGCTGGGCTGACTGCAGTTAAAGCCAGCTGTTTCACTTCCATTTTCAGCAGCTGTTGCCTTTAGCAGGTGTTCCATGTCTCTTTCTTCAGGCTGGTGCAATCAGTATATCAAAGTTTCCCCCTTTGGGACAGCAAGCTTAATTTTAGTGTTCAAACGTGTTAGGGAATCTTTAGGGCAGGCTGCCCCCTGCTGGATCACAGAGGCATTTGTCAGTTTTCACTGAATCTGAAATCAGGGCAATATAATGGAATGTATAAGACATTCTGCCCTCTTGTGTCTTACTGGGATATTGCAGCTTCCCTTGGAAAAAAATTAGGCTATTAATTGATGACATAATAGGGAAAACAGTCCCCTTGTGGCTGAGCTGAGATATTGACCTGATAATGGGGAAGATAATGCAATGTACTGGAAGCTAGAGGACATTTTGCTCCCCTGGTTACTGAGTTGGGTATTGCAGGATCCCTGACATCCAATGCAATCCTAAATTGTTTTAAGAGAGGGATACAATCAAGATCAAGGGAGGTACTAATATCACTCTAGAAAAGCCCTAGTAAGATCACACCTAGAATACTTCATCCAGTTTTAGTCACAACACTATAAAAAAGATGTTGAGACTCTAGAAAGTGTGCAGAGAAGAGCAACCAGGATGATTAGGGGGCTGGAGACTAAAACATATGATGAATGGTTGCAGGAGCTAGGCATGGCTAATCTAGTGAAGAGAAGGACCAGGGGAGACAGCAGAGCATCTTCCAATATTTCAGGGGCTGCCACAGAGAGGAGGGGCTCAAGCTATTTCCCAAAGCACCCAAAGACCAGACAAGGAACAACGGATGGAAACTGATCAAGAAGAGATTCAACCAAGAAATAAGGAGGAACTTTCTGATGGTGAGAACAATCAACCCATTTGATTGTTGTGGGAGCTTCATCACCTGAGACTTTCAAGAAGAGATTGGACTGCCAATTGTCAGAAATGGTGTAGGGTCTCCTGTTTGAGGGGGGTTGGACTAGATGACCTTTAAGGTCCCTTCCAACTCTGTTAATCTGTTAACCTCAAAGCACCAAACCCATGGAACAGAAGTTGCCTTCGGAAGTTGTGAGAGCTTCATCACTGAAGGTTTTCCAGAAGAGATTGGACTGCCAATTGTCAGAAATGGTGTAGGGTCTCCTGTTTGAGGGGGGTTGGACTAGATGACCTTTAAATTCCCTTCCAACTCTGTTAACCTCCAAGCACCAAGTCGCTTAAGATATGCTCCATAAACTCAAGATGGACCAGGTGAAGGAGACAACAGAGATTTATAGATCGGGTGGTTGGAGGCCAAATGGGAGGGAGGGCAAGGGGGAGGACCAGGTGGAAGGGCCCCTTTTCTCTCTTCCAAAAGCAGAATAG